ACTTCCTGGAAAAGAAGCAGACGCAGGCGCTCAACATGTCGAACACATAAGGGTGCGCGGGCGTCTACGCAGGGTGTTTGAAAGGGTGCTCAAGCTAGCGAGTTGCAGAAGCTGCCTACCAGGACTCTCAAGTACTGCAGATGACTGCTCGGACAGCATGGCCCATTTTCCTCACGTGGTCAAGAGTACACTCACGGCCAGCATCGACCCTGCGTTTTGCGTCCGAGTCTGTGTCAGGGGGTACTAGTTAGTGGCCCATGCTCCGCCCACACCGCAGCAGGCAGAAGAAGCAAAGGAAGAAGCCAAGCAGGCTAAGAAGGTGGGCTGCCGTCACAGCCTTTAACGCTGGGAGACAGCAAGCCCTTACTGTAAGCTTCATGCGCGCTTGCCTCACTGTTTGGACTTACGTTGCATTCACGCATGACTTGGTGAAACCCTCCTACAGCCTTGATCCTGCTGGCAACTGACCAGGAGAGAAGGAAGGCTAGCAAGAACCAGACGAAGGCAGTCCGGGAGTTCCTGCTTCAGGGCACACTGCCGCAAACATTACCGCAACCACCGCCACGACGAACAGCACGACCAGAAACAAGCAGCGCCGCGAGCATCACGACGGAAGATGCTCCACGACCTTGATGCCCGGTGTCGTTGAACTCGAAACCTCAAAGTCAGGAGCTACTAGACCTAGCGAGAGACCGTCTATGGATTTAGGGACATTCTAAGTAGGGGCCTGGAACAACAAGAGAACCACGTGCAGGGAAGTGCGGGTACTCGTACGGAAGAGGAGCGGAGAGAGGCGCGTCAGCAAAGATCAGCAAAGGGAGCTTGTTGATTGCTGGTTTTGGGGTGGTGCTGTTCCACAGCAGGAGGAGGAGCCTCTTGCGAAGGTTCGTGCAGCAGAGGAGGCGGCGTGTGTGTGCGGCAGCAGATGTAATTAGCCATGTAGACAGGGGCGTCAGCATGTGCAAAACGGGCACAGTGAAGCATTTAAGCATTTCCCTCGGGGCATTTGATGAAGGATTGCGCCGGGCTGTTCTGGCTAGTTTGCCTGCCGGGGTGACATGGACCCCGGCATGGCGCCGTTTGCGATTTATGGTTTGAAAGAGTAACGCGGGAAGCAAGATTCCTACCCAAGCCAAAGTGCAAGGCTGCAAGGCTTGGAAAACGCATTAAGAGCGGTCTCATCCCACGCCCCTCTCCCAAGGCTCAAATTGAGCTCCCGAAGCTCCCGACCAAGCCCAAATGCATTTTTCAGCAATTCTGGCGCTCAATGCTGGGCATGGACACCCCATCTACAGTAATATGAGCCCAACAACTGCCATTCCGCTGCTGGGGGTGTTCTATGGGACTGTTTTGATGTTTCACCCTGCTGAACAGGGTTCCGTGTTTGCAGGATCATGGGGCACAAGAGGGAGATGCATCCTCGACTTGTGGAAAAGGCAGGTCAGTGATGAGCTGCTGTGCGCACGACTCTCTGTTCCAATCCTTTCGGTTGTTTTGCAATGGCAGACCTGCCGGAAGACGATGCGGGGTCCCTCTGGAAGTGGCTCTTGGCCACTTGCTGCTGCAGTATAAGCATTTCTAGCTCATGTTCTGGAAGTCTTCTTCGACACTGCAGTCCAGCGTGTGTGCCAACAGTCATGTCTCGTGGGTCATTCCGCCGCGCCTTTCAAGGGACTTGCATGCTGCGCGCAGCGCCCGGCATTCATTCGCTAGGCGCGGAACTCAGCTCTGCACAACGTAGCTCCGTCACAAGCGTTCATGCCTTTCACCTCCTGAAAGTGCCCCTGAAGCCCCGCAAGTAGTTCTGAAATTCGGCACTCCTTCAGCCCTCCCGGCCCCAGCGGTACGAAAGTATTGTACTTCACAGCACACTGCCCGTTGCACAACCTTCAATCCTTTGACGGCTGCAGGCTGTCTTGGGCGTGTACCTGTAGTCTTGAGTGGTTAGTTTCAATGCTCCCGGCGAATCGCCGAAAATGGATCCATGGCCGTCACTGCCAGACTCTAGAAAGGCGAACAAATCAGCCAAAACAGGCTCTAGGCCGCGCATGTTCAAAATGTTTTCGCTGCTTTGTATCTTGGGTTTAGCTCCTGAGTTTGGCTTTGCACTGCTTTGGGCTTTTGCTTGACAGTGTAGGCGCTGTTTTGGGGTTGGGTTCATGGTGCAAGCCTTAAGTTTGGGGCGGCGCTGCTTTGGGTTTGGAGAGTTGGGGGTTGACGGTGTCGGATCTCGCACGCTGCCCCCAGGTTACACACACCTGCCTTGGCAAAGTCCATGTCGAGTGGGCATTCTGTAGCATCGCATGCCGGCGGAGGCACACAGACGTAAAGAGCCCTTTGAACATGTTCAAAAAAAACATGTACATAGTCTTATCATTATGACTATTGCTTTTTCTTATCATACAGTATATTCTTATTGTTAGTATGTATATCATTTGTTATCTGATGCGGGCTTGCCTCCCAGATTCCTAGCATTTTAAATGGAGCCGTTGCTCCATGAGCACAACGCGGCCACGTGCTGTTTCTTCGGGCGGTACTTGTCAGGGAGGTCATCTGATTCACTTCTGGGACTTAGAGTCTTAGAGATTTGCGCTCCTACTTCTCAGGGCGGCGTTGGTAGCGTTTACACGCGTTTAGGGCAGTTTAGGGTTTCTGGCAGAAGCCTGACAGCTGGATACCCGTCGCCACATCTCCTTTCGCAGGGACATCGATTCAGGAGCCGGCTCCTTCGCTTAAAGCGCGAGAGTGGTCAAAAAAAGGTGCGGAGGCGTTGCGGTGGCCCGGTCCAATCTATTTTACGCAGACAAGCTTAAGTTTCAAGTCAGAAGCTGGAAGATTTGCCCGCGGATGGCCAAGCAGCTGCACTCGCCTCAGTTCTGACGTTGCAGGGCCACTGCCCCAGCTACAAGGGGACGCCGCAGGCTGCGAGGGACCGAGGGACGGCTCCTCAGCAGCGTCGGGAAGCCCCACTTAAACCTTATGTTTCCTTTTGACTTGAAGTCACACCCGATGCCCTGCATAGCATCCGTGCTGAAGGTGCGAGTTGATTGCGATGTGGTGAGCTTCAAGCTGAATTCTCAAGGTGTCACATGTGGGGCAGCCTAGAGAAATCGATGCGGACAACTGCACTTCGAATATATAGTCTTGGATCGCACTCTGCGTGTGTGTGTGTGTGTGTGTCCTAGTGAGAGTGCAATGAGGAACAATGCCTCCAGCACTCCGTGGCGACTCGCAAGCGCCTTGAGGATGTGCTCTGGCAATGATGCAACCCCCTACCCAGCAAAAGCATGGGAGAGCCAAAGCTGTTTCATGGACAGAGGCGACAGAGGTGTCCCAGCCATACCATACGTAGCATTTTTCGCAGAGAACGTGAGGACCGACATGGGGCTTGAGCATGGAGGCGCCCGAATTTGCTGCATCTGTGCAGAAGATGCTGCCTTTGCTGCACACCGTTCCGTCTGCAGGTAGACATCGGCGATCCAGGCAGAAGTCCGCTTTGGGTCCAGACCCAGGCCATCTGGTCCCCCGAACATTGCCCAACACTGCACCGCATTGCCTGACACTTGGGATGTGATGTCACACAACAAGAGACACTCAAGAGCCGCTTAAGAGCCACAAGAGTCCGCACATGTCCGCACTCAAGCCGCGCAGGCCCGGAGGGGGCCAGGCCGAGGCCTCGCGCAACTTCTGAGAGAAGCCCTTTGAAGCCCTTTGAGTCTTGGAGCTGCTTTTCTGTGAGGGCACAACTTGCTCACACACCTACCTGCATCTGGTGAGTCTAGTGGAGTTCCATCCGGAAGGCCCAGTCGAGATCCGCAGAGAGACTTGCAGCGAGACCGCGGCAAGCTTACAATAAATTGAATGACTCGCATATGATCTTGAATGCTTAGCCTGGAAATTGAAAGTGCCTGGACCGTCCTGGACCTTCGAGTGTTTGACATGGGCACCGTTGCTAGGTGATGGGCGAGGACGACGCCGAGTTCCTCCTGGAGCCACGGCGAAGGCCGACCGGCGTGAATGGGAGAGAGGTCCTGGGGCCCTGGGACCCTCCCCCATATGCTGAGTAGTCTCAACACTATTGTAACCATAGTATCCATAAGAAGAAAAAAAGAAGACACAGGGCTTTGCTTATGGTACCCAAACAGACACAACCCGAACCTCGGTTTCGCAACGCCCGCGCGCGCGCGCGCCCAGAAGGCAACTTGCGGTTGGAGGACGCGCACATGACAAACGCTCAGTTGCACACATTGTATCACGCATCCGGGCAGTAAACCTAGCCTCCAAACCCCGGAGACGTGTTTAAGAGTATTCAAGATGCAGCGAGCGTAGATGCAGGCACCAAACAACACATCAGCTTCGTCCAAAACATGCCGGAGCCTTCTGGATACCTCTGCTTCTGGCAGAGAGCAAAAACCCTGAACTGCTCCTAAACCCTGGAATCTCTAGGGGCTCGGGATCTTTCCGTGAGAGGCCTTGCTGCGAGCGTTACGGCAGGCCTGGAAGCTGCGTGCTGCCCCAGTCAACGAAAAGGTGTGTTGCGACTTCGCTTGGGTGTCCTGTGCCCTGTTGCCGGAAAGGAATCTATAAATCCTAAACAGAAAGCCTCAGACCCCATGCCGATATCCACCGGGCTTCAGAGGGGCGACATTTCATTGCGTTGCGCATGCCTCATCGTATTTTACTTTTCGGATTTCTCTGCTGCTTGGCCACGACCAAATGCCTCACTGAATGGTTTTTTCAGGCCTCGTCTGGGACCGCTGCTCCTTGCAGAAATAGGAATAGGGATCTCTATGGATCTCTACAGGCAGTTATGTTTGCAAGGACTTGCGCGTTTGGGAGTAGAGGCTGTCACACGAACGCAGGCGTGAGTGCCTTGAACCCTGATCCTTTGAGCAAACTAAACCCTGCGCACCCTGACGCTATGGGCACAATCTGCAGCTGCACTGACGAGGAGGCAGCGATGCAGACTTGGATCATGCAGTGCACGGATTGCGCAGTGACATCGGGTTTCTGCCCAGGACTCCCAGGATTGGGATGTGGAGGCTGGTTGTCCCTGTTCAGTTGGACGTTTCCGAGCTGCTGAAAGCACATCGGCAGGATGTCCCAAGCGACAGTGAGCAGGCAATGCCAAGTTGACATTGATCTTCTGTTGGAGTGTTGGAGGGTTTCGGCTTTGTGCCAGACCGAGTTGCACGACCTGGACAAGATGCCCCTTGAATGCACATGGACTCTTGCGCACAGGTCCCTCAGACGGTCCCTCTCTTCCTCTCCTTTCTCCCTAATTCTGTCGGATTCTGTCGGTCTGTCGTCAGGTCGGTCAAGCGCTCCCCGGAATGCCCAGCAGCTCCGACCGTATCCCCTACTATGAGGACGATACTTGCGTGTTTACTGGGGGTCTTTATCGTTCCAATTTGTTGATATGCCGAAAAAGGTCAAGAAGCCGATTCATGGCAGGAGCCACTGACCCAATAGATACAGTGAATGCTGTTTGAAGGACATCTCCTGCGTACCTGCCACATCGGCCAAACCATCATACTGTGTGCCAAGCTCAGCTTGACCACTACGCACTGAAGGTCGTAACCCTAAACCGCCTAAACTGCCCTAAACCCTAAACGCTGAAGCCGCTGAAGCCGGAACCCTAAAGTCAGAACTGTGAAGAGTGGGGGCACAGACTTGCAGGTTGGTGCCAGTTGCTGCCCAGCTGCCGAAAAGTACGGTCCGTGCCTTGTTGGTGTTTTGAGAGACCTATAGGCCCTATAAACACTGCCCATACACTCCATAAATTCTATAAACCCATATAAACCCTATACACTCTATAAGCTCTATAAACCCCATACACTCTATAAACTCTATAAGCGTTAAACCAAGATGCGGTCCCTTTTTCCCGCTCAGGCCGCTCAGGCAACAGTGGCGCCGAAGATTGCAGCCCCGCGACCCAATGTCAAGGCAAGTTATGAGTCATAGGTCATAGGTGCACCTGGATACAAGTTGCACGCGTTGCAGCATTTTGCAGCCTTACGCATCATGGACAGCCAGGTAATGCCAGGCATGGCGCTGAGCCCTGTTGTCTTAAACACGTTGGGCCCGAAAGGGACCACGGCTTTCGCCGACACCTCTTTCTGTCGTCACTTCCGCAACTCCTTCGCGGACCTTTTGCAGTGCTTTAGGATTTCAACGAAAGCTGCTGGTTACAAGAGCTCTCAGTCCTGCTGAGCGAAGCCCGGGCCTTCCCCTGAACTCGAAACCAAGCAGCCCTCGAGCCGCCTTTCCCGTTTTGGAGGAACCTTCACAGCTCACGGCCTACGCCGCAAATTAATTTCATTACATTAGAATTATTTATGATTCATTTATGATTATCATTAATATTATTGTTATGATTGTTATTAATATCAGTATTCATTTCCAGCCGGTACTCGTAGTACACCTTGCCGGGAACATAGGCCCCGCATCTTTACGACTTTGTGTCGCGCAGGGCTTTAGCGAGCAACGCTTTCCTTTCGCAACCCATCGCGGATCTTTCTCGAGGATAGACATACAGACCTGCAAAGCTCGCGCTTAATTATACCGAAGGCCCTTTTATCAGTTCGGCGCTCTGGGTAGTTATGGTACGACGACTTCTCTGGAGCACGCTCGAGCAAGACAATTGAGTTTCGAAACGACGCCGAGACCCCTCTCTTCGACCATTTCCTCCTCGGCATCCGACTGAACGTGCGTCATGCTACACCAGCTTCCGCTTGGAACATGAATCTTGTAGTTTCTCCATGCTCCGCCGTCAAAAGCCTGCGGCAGTTAAGGAGCTCATCTTGAAAGCACGCCGTTAACTGCACCGCGAAGTACATTGCTGGGGGCGAACATAAGGAAGTCGAAGACCAACAAACAATGCTGTACCCGCAAAATGTCGGCGCCCATGTGCTGGGGGGCTGTTGCACTTGTCAGGCCGGCGACTGGAAAACAACATGTCCTCCGCTGGGAGCTTGCGTATTGGGCACCGTAGGCTGCGGGCGTACATCTTTTGATTCTGGGGGTTGACAAAGTCTGGGTGACTGCTGCTGAGGCCCCCAGACAGGTTTGCGCCATGGAAGGAGAATCGGAGAACCAATCTCCAAGTTTGGAAAGTCCCAATGTTTAGCTGGAGGAAAAAACATCGTCCGGCTTGCGCAACATGGATGGTTTGGCCGTGGACTTGGCATCACAACAGGCGGCTGGGGATCTTTCTGGTGGTGGTGTTGAGTTTAATGGTGTCAGGATTGCACTCTGGAGGAGATGGCCAGTCGCCCGTCACTCCCTCTGCGCACGAGCAGCAATGTTGCAAGTTGTACGATACTGTACGATCCTCGCAGTCCATCGCTCGCGGTGGCAGTACATCGTGGCCTGAGGCCGCCATATGGTTTGTCAGCACAGGAGATCCAGGCACCTCTTGCATTTTTGTCTACATCCCTGAGTCTTGCTCAGGGCCATGGATGTGAGATGATGTGAGGCATATCTCTTGAAAGAAAGAAGGCGTGGGATGAGTCAGCCACGGCCTCAGTCTCCTGACAAAACAGCAAGAGATCACATTTGCTCTACGACCCCCCAAGGTGAGACTTGACAACGGTGTCATCTGCCGGCTGAAGGCACCCCCCCCTCCCTCCTGAAAGTGGCCCAGCGTTATGGAGGTGTTAGTTCGTACCTTGTTTCAGTTGGCTTCTGAGAGAGAAAGGTATCGGAACGTGGTGTTCACAACTCTAGTTACCTAGTTGGGCTGGAGCAAGCTTCTCAGGAAAAAAGCATGGAGGAATGGGTACACACAAACCTGCAGCAGCGATCTCAGATCAGCGATAGGAATTGTTCCCTGTGACGGGGCCCTGCCTGCACTCGATGCGTGAGGCCGCCACAAGGCTTTTCGTCATTGGAGGCCAGCCGGAAGAGGGATTTTGGATAGACGGAGATCTCAGTGGAATGATTGCATGAAGGAGTACTTGATCTGCAAGATCGGAAGGTGGGGCGGAAGCGTTGTTGCACCGGTGTTGCCAGTCCGAAGTTCTCGAATCAACAGCTTTCAATGATCATGTGAAATGATCATGTGAGCAGATGTGAGCACGTCACAATATGGTCCCGGCGGGAGGATGTGAAGGAACAGACAGCAGAGACTTCGCACGCCTGCTTCTCGTGAAGCAGTACCAAGGTGATTGTGTAGCAGCGTAGCATAGTGTAGCGCCGCGCTGCTTCAGAACGGCTGAGAAATGCCAGCTGTACACCTCGAGGAAATGCAAGGATTGACGGCGTTGTCTAACATGCTGCTTCACCACCTGCCTGCAACACGAGATGTTCGTGCCATGAGTAAAGTAAGGCACGTTTTTTCTCCACATGTCTTGATACCCATCTTGGTTCGAAGTAGCTGCCGTCTCTCTCTTCTGGATCCTGTGTGCCGGGGGCTCGGTGCGTTTGCAACCGGGGCCCTTAAGCCAGCCAGAAGCACGACAGGCTTGCAGTTAACCACTAAGGAGGATTTGGAGGTCTTGATGGCGATGAATGCGTTTCCGACCAAGGACACAAACTTGCATTCTGACTTCCGGGACAAGTTTTCCCAGCATTCCATATGCATTCCATGTCGCAACTTCTGAGGCCCGGTGCTTGGCCCAAGCATGTTTCTTAGATGGCCTTGGCGCGTTGCTAGTGAGTTTCTGGCGAGTCAACAGAAAAGCCTTGGCTTCGAATGTGAGGTGGGGAATGCAGGTGCCGCCAAAGGCAACACAGCCGAAGCAGTCACCCCATCCGCCGCCTGGCCCTGAGAAATGTTTCAGTACGACAGGCCAGTCCCTCTCGCTTTGTTGTGCGTGGAGTATTGGCTGCACAATTACTCAAGCCCGCCCCTGAGCTTTTCGCTAGAGATGGTTTTGGGAACCCATCCAAAGGCGCTGGTTCGCCTCCATCCATCACTTTAAGGTTTAAGGGACTCTGCAGGCCCATGAGTCTAAGACGATCCTGAAACTTGTACCTTGTATAAACCCTGCAACCACTCAAGGAAATCCTACAGTCAACCTGGACCTTACTAAAGCCTACAATAATTTTTCAAGCCCATAACATGTTGAAGGGGATCGCTTTGCAGTCCCCCTGCCAAATGTGCTCCCGCACACCTCTAGGAACGTCGTTTCACTGGGACTTCCTCATGTATCCCGAGGGGGTTTAGGCTACGTGCCCCAAGTCGTTTAAAGGCAGGGGGCCATGGAATGTCACAGGAGGGGAGGGGGCGTGGGTTCACGCGGCAGGCTCACACATCCTTCCCCCCGAGAGTCATCCCCCCCGAGGATGCGCCCACCCTTGGTTTTGCTTGTTCTCCCCTCTCCTGTTGCACTGGGGGACCGGAGGATGTGCCCCTTTGCTTGACACCAGTTCTGTGATGCGCCGTGTGCATAGTGGTCTGCCTTGTCTTTGTTCTGGTCTCCGTTCTTGTCTCCTCTTTAGTGTGGGAACCAGATCTTGACTCCCTTATTGTTGACGTTGTTCTCTTCCTTCTTGAATCCCTTTTGGGGCGAAACCCCTGTGTATCGAACTCATGGATGTAGCAAAGGGAGAAGCAAAGGATGTAACGCAGTGAGCCCACGGCCGGCAGGGCCGCCGCCGGGATACCAGTGCCAGGGCCGCACTTGGGGCCCTTTCGAGGGTCCATGTAGATTTGTAGTAGATACGTCAGGACCTAAGGCTACTATACAGGAACCTGAGTAAGGCCGTGAAGGCAGTGCCGGCCGTGCGGGCAGTGCCGGCCGTGCAGGCCGTCTGTTTTTTTGTTTACCCTGCTACTGCTACTACTACTACTACTGCTACTGCGACTGCTCCTGCTACTGCTACTGCTACTGCGACTACTACTACTACTACTACTACTACTACTACTACTACTACTACTACTGCGAGGACGACGATTATCACTACATCTATTGCCTGAAAGTCAGGCCGGGCCGGCACTTCCAACGGCGGGGCCTCCGCCCGGCCTGGCGAGGGCGGAGCCCTCCATGAACTTCAGGCGCCGGCAGTACCGAGAGTATTAGGGATTTATGATATAGGGGCTTTAACGACTAGAATAGGTTTTGGGCTCCTTTGTAGTATAATTATAAAAAGAAATCTGAACCATAATATCGGTAATTCTGTCGGCGTCTAAACTGGGGTTTAGGCTGCTTCGACCCTTTAGAATACGGGTATCCTTTTTGATACTCTTGGGTTTAAATAACGCAGCCCTAAAACCAAAAGGGCAACAGGGTACTACTCAGGAACCTAGAGCCTGGGTACTGGCCAGCAAACTTGTGCTGAGCCTGCACTTCTTTGGCGTTGGAGATTGTGCGAAGAAAAATCTGCTTGTAGTGGTAGTGGTAGCGGTCTTGGTAGTAGTAGCGGTCTTGGTAGTGGTAGCGGTCGTGGTAGTGGTAGTCGTGGTCGTAGCAGTAGTAATAGTAGCAGCTGTAGTCGTCGTCGTTTTGGTAGTAGTAGTAGTAGTAGTCGTCGTCGTCGTCGTCGTGGTGGTGGTGGTGGTGGCGGTGGTGGTCGTGGTCGTGGTGGTCGTGGTCGTGGTCGTCGTGGTCGTGGTGGTCGTGGTGGTCGTGGTGGTCGTGGTGGTCGTGGTGGTCGTGGTGGTGGTCGTGGTCGTCGTGGTCGTCGTGGTCGGCGTCGTCGTCGTCGTAGTGTCGTCGTCGTCGTAGTGTCGTCGTAGTGTCGTCGTAGTGTCGTCGTCGTAGTAGTAGTAGGTTGGTTTGTTAGTCTGTCAGTTAGCTAGCAGCTTGCAATGCAAGGCTGTTGAATTTTCTGCATGAGATTCGGTGGTCAATCAAGGCTTGATGAAGCTTTCACCCTGATTGATTTTATCACGAGGGTTACGCAATTCCGACAACATGAAGTAGCATGTCGCAGGCGACATTTTGCTGTTGTGCGTTGAGCTGCATGTTTGCAAGCCACAGCCTTGCCGCATGCACTTCACGGAGAAGTTCCGGAACCACCATGATACAGCCATCGCTGTGAATATCACGGCAGCCGTACCGGATCCCAGGATTCGATTCTATGCCTCTACAATGTTCAAGGTGCTCGATCGGGCAGCTTCAATCACATGATATCACACAGAACCCGTCCAGGTAGCCAAACAGGCAATGGGTGGTCTGTGGCACTACAGCACATTTCGGCTTTTGTGTTCTGACGCTGACGTACCGCTCAGACGTGTGCCTACGTGGGCTAGCCGTCCCAGTTTGCTGAATCCAACCCCACAACTTCCGCCACGTGACAATGACAGTGCCTCGAGTGGAGTGCCCAGAGAGGTGCTTATGGAGGAAGTGAGGAAGGCTGTGGAGGTGGCTGTGGCACAGAGAGATGCAGAGCTAGGCGCTTTGAAGTTGCAAAACGAGCAGTTGCGCCAGGCCCTGGCCAATCGTGGTGGCCGGACAACTGTGGATCCCGCTTTTCCAGGAAGTGAGGAGGCACATTCGGGTGCAAGGCTTCAAGAGGCCTCTTTTGGTCCTTCTGACAGAGAATCAGGAGGCTAACCGGGAGGTGAAGACCGAAGCGCTTGTGGAGGGCCTCCTGCTCCCCCTGGGCTATATCAAGATGTTGGAGTATCAGGTCGCAGTCCATGGTGTCTCCCGCTGGAAGATCGTGCAGTGAATGACGATGCGAGGACCGGTGGTCGTCCTGATTTCGGGTTTGCAGAAGACAGAAGTGCAAGGGTAGGAAGCCAAAATCCTGCTCCACCTGGGCTGAAGCAACCTGAAGATGGCTCCTTTGGGTCCGGTGTGGACCAACCCCTCCAATTGCTGGTTCAGGGAATGCGGCAACTTCAGCAAGTCTATCTTGGGAGGTCGGAGGGTGATGTTAAGGCCAATGTGGAGATTCCTGCTATGCCTGAGGTTGGACCGGATTCGGCAGTGGAGTTTGCTGATTGGTTGTATGAGACGGAGCAGGCCGTTGGAGCCTTGTCCGACAAGGCCACCTTGTGGTTTTTTGCGTGTTTGGGTGTGGCAAGAGACACGTACCAGCAGTACGTGGATGCCACTCCTCTGAGGCGACTGACTTTGGAGCCCACCGTGCCGGCGGAGCTCAAGCAGCCCCAGTGGTTTCACCTGGAAAGGCGTGTGACAACGCACCATGAGGAAGACCGTGAAGGATGAGATCATTACCCACCGTGTGGCCTCCGTACCCTCGTTGCTTTTTCGGCTCCATGTTCTATATCAACCGGGCGGGGCGCCGGAGAGGGCCTCGATCCTGAGGCAGCTGGAAGGCAGTCCGTGTGGTGAGCATCCGCAAGATTGCATCAATGCCTTGAGGAAGTGGAGGAGGTACTTGGAGAGAGCTGCGGATATGGGTGTGGCAGTTCCAGATGCGAGCATCCTGCTTCGGGGTGTGAAGATGATTGCCACCAAGGCGCTGGAGGCGAACCAAGAGGTGAAGTTCAGGGTGGCCTTGGTGGAGAACGATTTGCAACTGCAGGGAAGACCTACTGTGGAGGCCGTCGTGAGGTATTACAACACGATCTTGGCAGAGCTGCAACAGGTTATCCCCAAGACTGCAGCCACCAGAACCATGACAAACCCTCAAGATGGAGCTAAAGTCCGGGCTATTGGAGCTGCAGCTGGGACGGGGGAGTCTTCCTCTCCGCCGTCTCCCAAGAAGCCAGGCTCTGGAGCTAAGCCCTGCAAGTTCTTCGCGACAGACAAGTGACAAGGGTTGTACTCGAGGAGCGCAGTACAAGTTTGAGCATTCCTTTGCCAGCAAAGAGGATCGGAAGAGCCGTTGTTGGGAGTGCGGGTCGAAGGAACACACCAAGAGATTGTGTCCCGCCGTGGCATCCAAGGAACAGCGAGGCTCTAAACCAGGGGCAACAGTGGGCTCTGGGGCTTCGTCTTCCACGGCTGGAGCGTCAGTGGGCTCTGGGCCTTCGTCTTCCATGGTTGGGGCACCAGTGGGTTCAGCTGAGGCCAACGCACGTCAACATCAGCTTGCACTTCTTGAGTCGTTGCAAACGGCTGCTGCAGTTGCTCCGCAGACTGCAAATCCAGGGCAGTCCCCTACAGTTGCTATGGCATCCTCTACAGCTGCAGGACGAGAATCGGTCACTACGCCCTCTGCAGGCACGGGCTCGACAAACGAGGTTAAGGAGTCGTTGCAAGAGGCCAATGCGATGCTGAGTCGTTTGGCAAAGATCAACATGTTGCGAATGTCCGTGGATGAGTCCCTCCTGAGCCTCTCGGGTACCATTGCTGCCATGAGGGATGAAGTGGATAATCGGGCTGCTCTCCTGGACTCAGGGGCGAGTCACGTCCTCAGGTCTTCAAAGGGGAATGAGTATTCGGAAGGGGTACCTGTGCAAGTCGAATTGGCCAATGGTCAGAAGATCGTTCTGCATCAGTCAGCTGGAGGGTCCCTACTTCTTGATGCTCAACATGGTGAGGTTCAACATCCAATACTTCCCCTGGGGCTTCTAGTTCAGGAACTGGGTTGTGAGCTTCATTGGTCTCGTCGCCAAGGACTACGGATTGAGCACCCAGTTCACGGTGTTTTGAAGACGTTCACGCGCGGACCTTTTCCGATGCTGATAGAGTCGCAGGCCTTGGAGCTCATTGCACAACTTGAAGAAAAGAACGTGGAGAAGCTGAGGCAGCAGACCGTGCAAACTGCTTGTGCGCTGATCGCTACCGAGCAAACCCCGAGCTTCACCTGGGAACTTCGTCGATATGTCCAAGAGGGAGAAAGGGCCGGAGCAGCCAAGGCTCTGATGCATCCGAGCTGTCCTTTGGGAACCTTGTCTGAGACCGAGATTGGCTTGATCGCACAGGAGGTGGACGCTAGTGATGCTGCAGGATGGAAAAGGCTCAAGGCACTCCCTGTGAATCGTGCGACTCGAAAGATGATGATGTGCAAACGCTGGGTTGTGCGTGTTTGTGGCTCAGGGCAGGTCACTGACTATAAGATTTTGGAGGACAATAATGTGATCTACATCGACTTTTCCGTGGATCGCAGCAAGTTCTTCTCACTGAAGGGAGATAGTCCTGCCTATCGGGCACTTCTCTGGGCTGCTATGAGGGGACAGCTGGAAGGGATACTCGGATGGCCATCTATGAACAATGAAGTCTTCTCCAAGGTCCAATGGATTTGGCTAGTCGCCAAGCAGGCTGCGATGAACCTTGCTCTTCGGCGACCGTTTCTAGCGCTTGGAGGTTCCAGCTCTTCGTCGTTGTGGAAAGAGGATTCATGGGTAAGGTTTGAGGAAGAATTGGGAGTCCCTCTTTCGCAGCTGGACTTGAGTGACAGTGGCGACTCCTTCGTTCTGGCCACCAACCTCGTGCTTGAAGGACTGAAAGAAGCGATGCTGGAAGGGGAAGTTGGACCTGGTGGAAAGGCGCGGAGCTTCCCTACTTCATGGCCTACCTCAATTCATCAAGTGTTGCTTCAGGGTGCTTTGGACTGGAAAAGGGAGCCTGGAAAGTTGGAAATTGCTCGTATGTTGCAGAGATTTGAGGGGCCTCTGAGTTCAATGTCGGAACCCGAACTTCGGCGGTGGCAACGACACATTCGTGACGGACACCGGTGCCGTACCTGTGTAAGATCATCGGCTACAGGAAGGTCGCATCGAAGAATTGTTGCTCCGTCTTGTTACGCCCTATCTCTGGACATAGCCGGTCCATTCAGGGAGAAGGGTGAGTTTGGAGAAAACAAAGGATTTCGCTATGTCCTTGTCGGCTCGTACATCCTTCCCCGTTTGGAAGGATACAGGGATGCTCCCGTTGCCCCGGATGAAACAGGAGAAGATGGGCCAGAATCTGAAGAAGATGACGGTGCAGGCGTCAACCTTGGTGACATCTTTGAGGATGTGGAAGAAAAGAGGGAGAGACTTCTTCCCGAAGATGAAAAGGAGTGCGACCAAGACGAGGCGAGGTTCAAGGAACTCTTCAAGGAGATTGGTGACACTATGGAGTATCAAACGGTGTATTACGCAGTCCCCTTGAAATCGAGAAGTACGAGGGAGGTTCTTGCTGGAGTTCAACAAAT